GCTAACAAGTTGTCTGTGCATGCTGACCTCGACGAACACTCTCGTCATCAGCTGAAATCCTTTTTTACAAAGTTCGTTGATGTATTCTCTTGGAATGAACGGTCACTCAGACGTTATTCTGTAATTTGACGCTCCATTGATACTGGCTCAGCTAAGCCTGTGTGGCAGCCACCTCGGCGGTTATCGCCGCACTTTCAATAAGAGGTTCAAGAGATGATTGAGAAGATGCTGGAGGCTCGTGCCATTCGTCAGTCGCATTCACCTTGGGCCTCGTCAGTTACACTGGTTCCCAAAAAGGAGGTTAATTACGCTTCTGCATAGATTATCTCCACCTTATGCCCCTACGGTACGCAACTCCTTTCCCCTGCGCCGCATTGATGTCACACTCGACGCGTTGTCCGGGGCGCGATGGTTTACCACCTAGACATGAAGTCGGCTTATTGGCAAGTCGAGATGGACCCGAAGGACCGAGCGAAGACGGCTTTTATTATCCCCACAAGGGCTATTTGAATTTGAGAAGATATACTTCGTCCTCTGCAATGCGGCAGCCACTTTCCAGCGGCTCATGCAGTCTGTTTTGGCTCACCTTTATCCCCGTTCCTGCCTCATTTATCTTGACGACGTTATTGTTTTCTTGAAGTCCATCAAGGAACCCAACGATAATCTTCAAGCAGTACTAGCCTCCCTTCGTGACGCTGAGTTACATCTGAACCTTCTTAAGTGTTCCTTTTTACGGGACAGAGTCACTTATCTGGGACATGAAGTTAGCCGGGATGGCATCCAGGCCTCTCCCGGGAGAATTGAGTCCATTAGGACCCTCCCTACACCTGCAACTGACGTCCGAAGTTTTATTGGCCTCGCTTCTCACTACAGGTGCTTCATACGCGTCTTTGAGGAGATTGCGCGCCCCCTGCATGTCCTCCTCGAGAAAGACCGCCAATTCAAGTGGTCCGAGGACTGCCAGATGGCTTTCGATGAACTTAAGGCTCGGCTTGCCACCGCTCCGGTGTTAGTGTTACCTAATATCCTCCCTGATGCCTCTGAATTTGTCCTCGATACGGATGCGAGCGGCTTCGCTATTGGCGGTGTCCTGTCCCAATGTGACAACACTGGGGCAGAAACGCCTATTTGCTTTGCAAGTTGGACCCTCAGGAAAACTGAGCGCAAGTACTGCACCTACCGGCGCAAACCGCTTGCATTATTAACTTTCGTAAAATGTTGTAAGCCCTTTTTAATTGGCAGATATTTTGTCTTCCGGACTGACCATAAAGCCCTAATGTGGCTCCCGAAGACGAAGGACTCAGAAGGCCAACTTGCACGGTGGCAAGAATCTCTTGAAGACTTTGACTGTTCAGGCCACTTTCGGCCCGTTCCTTAACATGCAAATGCTAATACTCATTTTAGAAACCCATCTGACACAAGTGAAGCATCGACGTCACTCTCTATAGACTCAGTCTCAGCTCTCACCACCAGTGAACGTACATTGGGCTGTTGCCCAGAGCACTGACCCCGACACCGCCATCATTTACGATCATCGGCTAAATGGCAAGAATTGCCCTACGGATAAAGGCC